CAATTTGCAAATCAAATCAAATATTTGAAGATTAATTTGTATTTGATCAAATAAAATTTCTTTAATTTGAATTTGATCGAATCAAATAAAAAATTAATTCAATTTTGATCAAATAAATTTTTTTTGATTTGAATTTGATCGAATCAAATCAAATCAATTATTAATTTGAATTTGTATTTAATTTGATTTTCAAATCAAATATTTGAATATTAAATCAAATTACGAAACCCTAGTAATCAGTATTACATGAATTAATTTTTTGATTTCTGCAGTAAGTTTATTATTAAGTTTAGTATTGATTTTACTAAACTCTGCATTAACTTCTTCATTAAGAATCTTATTAAGTTCATTGTTGGTTCTACCAAACTTCATATTAGCTTTATTATTGATTCTCTAAGCTTTACAGTGAGAAAAACCTTAATTTCAAATTCATGTGAGGTAATTTTATTGATAATTTTGATATCATATACAGAAAGCTCATTAGTCATTTTAATAAAGGTCTTTTTGATTTTCACAGTAATACATCTATCATGTATAAGAAGATTATTGAAAAATTAGTTTCTGATGTTATAAATCAAGAAAAATATGTTAAGAAAAATAAAAAGTGTAGAGTCTTCAAAGATATGTTACAAGATGCTATCTTGTAAAATGAATGCAGACATAATTTCAAAGAGAAATAGAAAAAAATTGTTCAGATATGTTAGATCACAGATAATTATACTTAATTTTTATGATTTATTAGTATGATTTATCACTAATAAAGCTAAAACATCCTTCTATACATTTTACAATCAGTTTTATAACAAGGAATCACCCATTAAAGCTAGTATAATTAAAAAAAAAACTTGCATTAAAATACAGGTCTGGAATAATTGTGAAAATAATAACATGCCTATACCCCTATTTCTGAAAAAAAAAATGTTAAGATCCAGACCAATGATTGTACCTAAAGACAAAAGTTAGTGATATTCCCATAACCCTATATCCCCACATCATATTTAAGTAATGAATAATAATATTTTAATTTCATAAATGCTTAGCCATGAGACCTTATGCAAGAGAAAAGTTTTTTATTAATAAAAAAAATATTGAATAATTTTGCTATAATATATATATAGTATATGAATAAGCAATATTATGCATAACACCTTAGGATAAAGTTATTCCTATTCTTTTTTACTTATGTTATTCATGTCTAAAGAAAGATAACCATAATCAGAAGGAAGAATTAGAATATCTATGTGATGCTATTTACTTTAGTAAACTCTTAGCATTTTAGGCTAATACGTTGCCTCAATAATTCAGGCTCTTACTAACTGTCATGATTGGTAACACTGTTTATACACTAAATATTCAAAAAAAAAATCACGTGCGCATTACGCCGATCACTTTGCCAAGAAAAATTACAACAAACATAAGAAAAATAAAGCCTATACAATACAAATTTATACTTGTTAAGCGAAACTTTATTAATTTTAGCATTATAAGCTAGATATTACATAAATAAACAGCATACTTTTTATAAACTATATACTACATCACAATTAAAAATCACGAAACACTCCTTTATATATACAAGACCTTAATTGATTCGTGCTTGCTTTGTTTTTTAGTACTTTCGGTCGGAGTATGAATCATTCGTGTTGTCATCTTCTTAAAATCAACTTTACCACCTTTAGCCCATAAGATGTTTTTTGTGCTTTCGGATAACAAGGACTAATTTACAAGAGATCAAGAATATTAATTTTGTGATCCCATATTTTATTTTTCCTGAAATTCGTTCATACAAACCTCATATTTCAACAAGCCCATCACAGTTTCATGAGCTTTCGCCATATCCTTCCATGTTTTCGGTAAAGGAAATTTTAATACCGGTTTCATTATATATATCTCGGTGTATTTTAATTGAAATTCATAGATTATAAGCTCATTTACTGTATATTCCAAGAGTTAGTATTGCATGATAATAACAATAATAAGTATAGTAATGTTAATAATCAAAACTTACAATATGCTTGTAATCCGTATAACCTAACCAATGAGATATCAGAACTTGGACTTAGTTCTGCAAATCGATTTATTAGGGTTTTCAACATTTTGGTGATTTTCATATGATCACACTTGAAGTGTGACCAATCGTTCTTCGCCGGTGGACCACTTAACTTCAGTCACGGAAAATTCTTCATCATCTTCTCTCAGTAATATAATAGTGTCTATTTTCTTTCCGGGAGATCAGTGCTGATCATCTGCTTTTTGGAAGTTACCATCTTTTGCGCTTGCTTTGAGGCACGTCTCCCCATAAGAGGCATACCAATCTTGTTTGTTTTTAATGAAAAATTCAGAGAGGATCGGAGCTAACACATTAACTATATATGTTCCTTCGGACATTTGATCGAGGAGCAAGTTCACATTTTCTATTAATTTTACCCTACAATAAGGTTAGACACATTTAGCATCACACCGAACCAAGTAAATATATACTCACATATGTCTCACGAAATTCAACGCAAAATTTTTCTCAAATGAAGGAATATCTTCATTCAGTTTAAGTTTCTTCTTAGTTTTTTCGATATTACGATCAATGATGCTGTCCAATAGTAACTTAATCTCATGCCCCGAAGTATCTTCTGTTTTTTCTTCCTTTCGTCTTACATCGTCAAGCATTTTTTCTACGATATTTTCGTCCAATGTCTCTAAGAAACCATCTTTATTGTTATCATTAAAAAAAATGACATCGTAATATTCCGGTCTCGTCTTTGGCGGGTTCTTCTCCAGCTGGTATTGTGTGAGACTTTCTCTAATACGAATCCCATTTACAATCCAATGGTACTTTTTCCACCAATGATCGTCTGATCCGCATTATATTCATCATTATCCTCTTCTTCGACGTCACGATCGTGCTTCGTCCCTTGTGAATTGACTATGAAAGGATTCGACTCTGGTCGTTTATGAATATGTGTTGGGAAAGTATCGTAGAGTGAACTTTCCCCTTCTTCGTCATCTTCCGGTGTAATATATTGTTCTGGCGTACGATTTCCACTAGATGCTGAATAATCATTTTGTTTCTGACTAAATGTTACAATACCATCAGTAATTGTTGATGAACTTTCATTGTCGATTCTACGTGATTTAGAGTTTGGGTAACCTATAGCATGAACATACCAAAAATGGTTTGGCATAGATATCATAAACAACAACTGGAAAAAAAACAGTGATACCTTAATACGTTCTATTTCAGCCAACTCGATAGATTTCTCATTTTCGATCAATTCCAACTTCCGCTCTATCTCAAGCTGTTCGAAATATTTCGTTGTTGTTTGTGAGGATTTCCATGCCTGGTATCGTGAAACATGAAAGAAATGATTAAATTTTGCCAATAATACATAAACAAAAATCAAACCCTCATTGCTTTAAAGAGTATAAAGGCCATGACGAACTAACAGTCCAACACATGGCAACTAACAGTCCCCAGTGTTTCACAGGCGACTGAAGAGAAGGACAGACTAACAGTCGATCTTCCAGTTGACTAACAGTCCCCTGGCTCAGTCCATATCTCCATTACCGCTTCAGATTTGTAGCAACAGAAACAACTAACAGTCACTTCATGATGCATACAATCCTATCCTAGACATGTGCTATTCATATATAATACATCAACTGAAATTCCTTGCAAAGATCTTTCGCCTTTTGCCGTATGTCCCCTTAATCAAATTGTTATTAACAATCTTCTCAAGTCGTTTCTTTATGTGATCAAGAATCTTCACTCTGTCGCCTTTGAACTGATTACACGAACCGCAACAATTAACAAAACCGTCGAGATTCTACAAATCTGGTAAAGTAAATAGATAGTCCATCTCAACAACCTTCATAATAGTCTCAGAAATAAAATCAGTTTCCTTGATCAACGAAGCATAATGGACATTTAATTTCTTGTGATTTTATTGGTTGAATTATTTTTTGAAATATCACATAAAATTGATTTTGATTGGTATGAAATTGATCGGCATATAATTTTTTAAAAATTATTGGTTTTTTTTTTAAAAAAAATTTTTTTAACTAATTAAAAATAAAAGTATCTATTAAATAAATTTATATTTTATGATAGTCATTAGTAAATAAATATTAATAATAGTCCATCTAAAGTTAAGGATTATGATAAAAATGATCTAAACATTATTTAATTTAGGCTATAAAAGCTAATATATATCAAAATTAATATAATCAATAATTTTAATGTTTGGATAAAAAAGAAAGTGTAATGTTAATATGTGAACATGCTTTTCATTACAAATGTTTTGCAGAATAAAATAATAAGTATAATTATTGTTTTGAATTCTATAAAAAGGGTGTTGTCTTTAATATAAGCTCCTATATAAAAAGATTAGAAAAAGATGATAATATTAATAATAGTTTATTAGATGATAAAATATTAGATAATAAAATAAAGAAGAGGAAGAAAAAGAAGAAAAAAATAAAGTAATAAAAGAAAAAATATTGGTAGACTTTAAAAATACTTTAAAATTTATAAAAATATATTTTAATATTTATATATTAATTAATAATACCTTAAACTTTAGCTATTATCTAAGTTTTGTTATAGCAGAAATCTTCCATATCTTTTTTATCCAAAGAACGAACAACATATTAATAAAAAAACTGCATATCGATAAATTAGTTTTTGAAAAAATATTGCATCTTTTTTTATTCAATTGACATCAAATATTATACAATATAAAAAAGATTAATATTTGATTTTATCATCTCGTGATATAACAGTATTGGCAAATAATATAATCATATCAAATTTTTTTAGGTCATATGGGGCCTTTGCAATAGAAAGGAGGGAAACTGCCAGAAAAATAAAAAATGAGTTAATGCTAAATTTGAACATATTTCAGTCTAAAAATCATATTTGGCATATAAAAGTAAAATTAATTTTCCCAGCAGTTTCCCCCCTTTCTATTGCAAAGGCCTTATATGATCATAATGTCATATGACACTATGTCATATTGTCATAAGATTATATGAAAGCTTTGCAATAAAAAGAAAGAAAACTCTAAAAAAATTAAAATTTTACTTAATAAGTTAAATATGATTTTTTTAATTAAATAAGTTTAGATTTTAAATTATTTTAAAAAAAAATTTTTTTAGAGTTTCCTCCCTTTTTACTGTAAAGCTCCTATATGAAAATCATGTGATTTATATAATTTTAGCCGGCATTATAAAGCACCAATTCACCTTAGTTAGTTGTATAACATTACACAAAAGTAATAAATTTTGTGTATCATGTTTTAAATCTAAAAATTGTTATTTAAGACTTTGTGTAATATGAATTACTTTTTATGTAAATTATATTTTATAATGCCAGCCTAAATTAAGTCATGTAATATAGTCATAAGTCATAGACCCTTTAAAATAACAAATGACTTATGACAAAGTCATGTAAATTATATCGGTCATATGATGTTATATTCCAGTATTATGATATAATGAATGTTTATTAAGCTACTATATAATCAGAAACTGTACTATATAAAAGTGATTTATATCCAATCATATTTTATTATAAGATAATTATACAAAATCAAAAAATTTATAATGAAATATTATTGGTTATAATCATTTTCATACAATACAGTTTACCTGACTGTATAGTATAGTTTATCTATTTATCTGCAAATTCTTTTATTAATTTTTCAGATACATAAAAAATTATAGTGGTAGTAAATGAAATATATAGGGATAGTATCAGTTTAGGTTGAAACTGGTTTAATTGCAATTTATAACTGAACTGATATAAAATGATTTAAAAATTATGAACTGTAGTTTGATTAAACCAGTTCAAGCTGATGGTTTAAACTGATAGTTTAAACTGACTAACTAATTCTAAAATAGAAATTTGATTAATAAACTTTTAAGGAATACTAATCAAGAATATTTTAATAAACTAGAAATTAATTAGTTTTAATACAAGAAATTTTGCTTAATTATATAATATATTGTTTTCTTATTGTTTTTCTTAAATCTTTTGTAATAATATTAGATCTGCATAGCAAACTAAGTTTTGATAATACAGTTACTAATGACGCTTTTGACAGTATTGTTTATCAATTATAGACATTTCTAACGATAAAGCTTAAAAATCTAATGAAATATTAATATGAAATAATAAAAAACCATCACAATTATCAGAAGTACCGTAAAGCGTTCTGTATAGTACCCAGGGTATTTTACATTCTACTAAATATTGCGGGATACTATACTAGGGGGGGTACTGTGATCGGAGGAGGGTACTATATATGGCGTATACTTGTAAAAATAAAATGATT